ACCCATCCCCCCCACCGGGGCCGGGCTCAGACCGGTCCCGCCGTAGGACATGTTGAAGGAGCCCGACGTGGTCCCGCTGCTGGACATGTAGCCCGACATGGAGCCCATCCCGAGACCAGAACCCATCCCACCGCCTCCCATCGGAGAGTAGACCTGCACAGAGACCAGAGACAGACCAGTTAGACCAGAACCACTTACACCACAGCACAACTGTTTAAACCCAGAACCGGTTAGACCAAAACCAGAACCAGGTAGACCAGAACCAACCGGCAGAGAGGCAGAGCCAGATGAGATGAAACCAGTTCAGTCCACTCAGACCAGTACAGAGTTCATTTATTCAAATGTTCTGGTTTTATTTTGCTTTTCATTTTATCTGCAGGTTCGTGTTTGAACCTCCAGCTGATCATCAAACTCATTTATTCTCATTCATCCATCGGGTCATTTTCTGACGTTCACATCAATATTTCCTTTGTTTCAATATTAAATAAATATGAATAAATATAACAGATAATAATAATGAATATTCAAATATTTCAGGTTTAGTTTTTAAGTTCTTCACATTCAGAGAATCAATTAAAACACATTTAATTGATCAGTAATCCATAAAATAACGGTTGAAAAGCAAAGCTTTTAATTTGAAAAGCTCTCTATAAAGTTATTTATAATGTTTACATGATTATTCATTTAAGAAGTTATTAAAGAAACATAAACATCTTTTATCTTTTTCAACCTCCGAAGAACCAAACGAACAAAAATCGACTGAAGACGATGCATTCATTCATTCATTCAGTAAAACGCTTAATGAGTTATAATGATAATATAATAACATATATTATTATTATTATTATATAATAACTATAAAGTGATAAACCAATAAGAGCGATTTATCACCGAGACGCGGCTCGTTTATTATTTCATCAACGTGTTTAATTTAAAATGAAACGCGAACCTGAATACATTATTATTATTATTATTATTCATATTGTTATTTATTGTTATGTATGTTATTGTTATTGTCATATAATGACATTTATTTCATATAATCAGATTTATTTCATATAATCAGATTTATTTCATATAATCAGATTTATTTAATTTTAGAAACATCTACAATATTGAATCATATTTTGTCGTTTGGACTTGAAGCGCGCGGCTGTTTCTCGGACTTTTAATAATCTGTGATCAGATTATTGACTAATATATTTTATTAATATTTAATGAAGCGGATTCTTTAATATGAACGACGGATTTCAAACTCAGCCGATATTTTGATAAATTCTGTTTAAGTGTAGTAACGTCAGTAATACATATAATAATACATATAATAATACATATAATATTATATTTATTAACATTTTATATAAATAATGTAAAATATATTTACTCATTTAAAAACTTCTTTAGAATCTTAAAAACTAAACAGGCGAAATAATCCAATAAAATAATAAACTTTATTATTATCCGGTCATAACTTTTATTAAATTACGATATATTATATTATATATGAAATATTTATTTACATTAATAACGCAGCTCCTTTAAATAAAACACAATTTAACATTATGTATTTGTTTATGATGAAGTCTGGACTCAATGTTTAATGTTTTCATCAACATTATAATTATTATGACATTATAATTAGAAATATTTGATTAATAAAACACGCGCAATAATAGACCACGCGCTCTGATCGGACCGTCACGCGCAGAAAAACCCAAATTATATTAAAATAATTCACCCATTAAATAATAAAGTTTCATCTTTTAATGTTCAGCTGAAAGTAGAAACGTCATTTTAACGCTTTATTGTTATTATTATTGTTGTTATTGTTATAAACCGGATATCAGAACTCAGTTTAAATCTAAATTCATTTCAGTTTGAGTTCATCTCGATAAAATAACTTCGTGTAATAAAACTTGTAATAACGCAGCGCGCTGAACTTCCTGCGACACACGAACTGATCCGAAGTTTAGCTGCTTTACTGGAGTCCAGCGTGGACCGATGAGGACCGATGAGGACCGAGAGGACCTGGACCCGATGAGCTCTCAGAGCTTCTCGGTGGCCGTAAAAAGCGGGCAGTTTGACCGACCTCCTCGCTGTAGTATCCGCTCCAGTCCGGAGCCTCGTGCCCTTCCATCTTCACCGAGCCGAGCATGACGCGGGCCCGCGGCCGGAACACGGATCCTGCAGGTCCCGGTCCCGTCCCCGGTCTGCGTGTGTAGGTCCTGGTCCAGTGGAAAGCGCTCCGATCCGATCCGATCTGATCCAAGCCAGGAAGAGCAGAGAGAGGCAGAGTGCGGTGAGGAGGAGGAGGGGGAGGAGGAGGAGGAGGTGATGATGGTGACCTGCAGACTAAAGTGATCCTCCTCCTGCAGGTCTGATGTGATCCTCCTCCTGCAGGTCTGATGTGATCCTCCTTGTACAGGTCTGATGTGATCCTCCTCGTACAGGTCTGATGTGATCCTCCTCCTGCAGGTCTGATGTGATCCTCCTACAGGTCTGATGTGATCCTCCTCCTACAGGTC